CATTGAATTTTAATTGTTGTGAGCCGCCCAGGGACCTTTGGGTAGAGTGGGCGGCATATAAATTAAATAAATAAATAAAAATAATAATAAATAATAAATAAAATGTCTTCAATGATAGTCCTACTGAATGTAGTTAGTAATAATCAATTAAAATGGGAAGGAAAAGAATTAATCTTTATTGTTTTAAGTCTGGAAAAGTTAATCATTGCAAAGAATTGGAAAAATAATAGCCAATTTAACATGGAAAACTGGTTTAAAGAAATATGGAATATGGCCATGATAAATTAACTTGTGAGCTTAAGAAAAAGAGTATCAAATACTACTAATTTTTGTGAAATATGGAAACCATCTTTGTTAAATGGAATTGAGAAAGGGAAAGGTTTTACTCCTAGTGAAGACTCACTGTTTCTGGAGAGAAATGGGGTAATATAGTATGTAAGGAAAAGGTAATACAGTGGTGCCTCGCTTGACACTAATTCGTTCCAGCGAAATCGCTGTAGAGCAAAATCATTGTCAAAAGAAATAAAAAACCCACTGAAATGCATTGAAAACCATTCATTGCGTTCCAAAGGGCTGAATACCTGCTCGTCCAGCGAAGATCCTCCATACGGCGGCCATTTTTTGGTGCCTGTACTGCGAGGAATCCATCCCTAACACAGCGGGGAGCCATTTTCTTCAGCTGGTGGCCATTTTGAAACCTGATGATCAGCTGTTTGCTGATAGCCGTAAAGCGAAAAATTGGTTCCCGAAGCAGGGAACCGATCATCGCTAAGTGAAAAAACCCCGTCTAAATATCGTGAAGCGATCGCAAAAACTTCTGTAGCAGGCACGAGCGTGCCTGCTACAGAGGGAAACAGAGACCATCTGCCAGGCACAGCCCACTGGGTGAGAGGCGGTGGAACTGTGGTTGGGCCCCTGTTGGATGCCAGCTCTTTCTCAAGGGAGCTGGCTCAGCCTTCCCCTGTGCCGGCAGGATCATATAAAGCCCTAAACGGCTTGGGCCCTGGATACCTGAAGGACCACCTCCTTCCATATGAACCTACCCGGCAGTTAAGATCTAGCCAGGGGGCCCTTTTGAAAGAGCCGTCCCTTAAGGAGGTAAGAGGGACAGTTTGTAGACAAAGGGCGTTTTTGGCAGCTGCCCCCAGACTATGGAATGCCCTCCCGACTGAGATTCATCTGGCGCCGACGCTGATGACATTTTGGCGCCAGGTCAAAACCTTCCTGTTCCAGAAGGCTTTTAATTGAAATAATATTAGCTGTGGGTCTGATGGCAATTTTAATTGTATTTTAATTGTATTTTAATTATTTTATCTTTTACTGTGTTGAATTTTAATTATTGTAAACCGCCCAGAGACCTCTGGGTAGTGTGGGCGGCATATAAATTTAATAAATAAATAAATAAATAAATAAACATTAAGCAGATGCGTCGCAGAGTAATCTAATCATCCAGCGGGGCACGACTGTAGCTCTGAGGAGGGGAGCACAAAGTCATAGTGAAGCTTTTTATGTACCTGTAAGATATGTCAGCAATATTTTGATTATTTAATAAATAAATAAATAAATAAACATTAAGCAGATGCGTCGCAGAGCAGGGTAATCATCCAGCGGGGCACGACTGTAGCTCTGAGGAGGGGAGCACAAAGTCATAGTGAAGCTTTTTATGTACCTGTAAGATATGTCAGCAATATTTTGATGATTTTTTTCTTATTAAAATAAAATAAAGTTAATAGAATCAAGATACATTATATCCACAGCATTCCCCTCAACTATCAAACTAGTGGCTCTGTCAAGAAAAAAGATTTGTCCAAGCATGACCTAGTGTTGCATAACTTGTGCAAGGTCTTAGTAATCATAGGCCAGAATCCTGATACTTTCACCTACGCACAAGTCTGACAGTATAAATCCTGTTGATAAATTGACATTAATTAACAAGCTGGCAGTTGTATTTATTATCATACACCAATAATATCACTTGGCACACAACAAGAAATGTGAGCACTAACTTCTTAACTGGCAGCAATTCATCATTGAAATTTGTTCTATTGCCAACATAACTATTTCACTGGATTTTAATGACCGTGGGTTTTTTAAATCTTACCTGTTTTATGAATTCTCAAAGATTACAGACAAAAATTCTCAGATTCCAGCACCAACCTCATCCAATCCCCGAAACCAGTGGTTCCTTGGGTCCCCAAATGTTCTTACAATGCCCAGAAATCCTGGCCAGCAAATCTAGTGGTGAAGGCTTCTTGGAGTTTTAGTCCAATAACATCTGAGGACCCAAGGTTGGGAACCATTGCCCTGGATGATGACTGACACACATTGCAAGCTCTAAATATTAAATTACAAGAGCCTAGGCTAAATCTATGGCAAGCACACCTAGCTAAATGGAAGAATGCCAGAGTGTCTCCCATCAGGATAAGATTCTGGCTAGAGCATGGGAAGTCACTTAATAGACTTCAAAATGAAGCAGGAAGATTAAAAATAATTAAATAAAAATGGGACTACTTGGATACAGGACCAATTTTCTGTGACTGTGGAGAAATTAAAGAAATGAAGCACATGCATGTGTAAACAAAATCTAGTAAATGGGCAAGATAACCCTATTAAAATAGCCCACCTGGTCAAAATAGTCTAATTACTGTAACATTGTAATTTGTTTTTAATACTGCCTATATCTCCATTATTTTAAATTGTTTGATACTCTAGTATGAATAAAGAAAGATCTATATAGCATTGTTGTCTTGAATATATTTGCTCTGGCCTTAGAGTATTAAATTGATTTAAAGTAGCTATGTGTTTCTCTACCATCTCCTTCCTTATATTGGACAGCAGCCATTCATTGTCTGCTTTTTCTGCACTTTTTCTGTCTTTTAGATCCTTTGATGTGCAGTGACCAGAACTGCACACAGAATGCCAATCTTGCTTATCTCATGGGTGAAGGCATTGTGATTACCATTGTTTTATTTTTGCTTTTCAAATTATCTCAAACATGGAATTTGCTTTTTTCATAATAGCTGCTTATTTTCATTGAGTTACCACCACAATACTATGATCACTTTCTCAGTCAATTACTGCCAGTTCAAACTCCACTAACATATCAGTAAAACAAAGGTTTTTGCCCCAGGGTAAATCATTGTACACTTACATTTGCCTACACATTGGAAGAGACCCTTTCACTCTTCACGGCAGATCTGTTACTAAATTGATATTTCTTATCAGACCTCTTGTACTTTTTTGCCAGTTCAAAAATAAAAGTCAAGGCCTTCCTACAGAGCTACCAACAAGTTCTTACAAAAATAAAATCACATCTAAACAAATATTTCTGTCTTGTAAATATAGAAAGGTAAGTATAAGGTAATAAAAGCTCTTCGGATCATAAGAGGAATATATGATAAGGTGTTAGGTTTTTAGAAAATTTTAACTTTATAGAAACATAACTGCTTTGGAAATCAATTGATTAATTTTGAAGGGGGAGGGGAACTGTGCTCTTAGAAAACCTGCCAGTAGTAGCAAGAATACTGTTGGTTGAGGGAAGAAAACTTCTATTATTCATTTGTGCTTAACACTAGAACTGAAAAACAAGTGGTGTTCAGAGTAATCTTATTTCCAAATACTGTCTCATTGCTTTGCGGAGCCCAAAGTTCCATGGACTAAACTAATTTAATATACAATTTTCCAATGAGTTGGCTGTTCACAGTTTCTCTCTTCATCTCCACAAAATCTGTTGTATGTTGTTTTGGGATCAAAACCTAGAATTTCCCTTTCTTCATGAATGCGGAAGGAAAATGTTGAGACTGAAGTGCCTATAAAGTATCTGTGAATAAACAATACAGAATAAGTTATTTAGTAAAGGAACAATTCTAAGATGCATTTGTGAAATGGCAACCTGATGTATAGGATTAATCTTGATACCAGTTACCTGTACACCTGAAAATGGCCATGAGGGTGGTATAAACCTCATCCACAGCAAGCTTCCTGCTTCACCCCCATGTAAAAATTTTCTGAAACTGCCAAAAAAGGAGTTTTCTTATATGCCACAAATCTCTCCAGAGAAAGGCTGAATTTATAACCCATTTTAGGTGAGCGTATTTCTCTTGAAACAGCCTTACTATGTTGAATGCTGAAGTAGATTAGGCCACACCTCACAAATACAGCACATGCCCTGTATCAGAGGTATACAAAATGCAGCGCTGGGGCCTCATGCAGGCCCCCTAAGGATAGCTTAGCAAGTCCCTTAATGATCAGACTCCACCACCCCTGCATAAAAACTCAAAACAAACTGATAGTCCCCAGTAATAACAAAAGATTGCAATTCCTGGAATTATTCAGGTCCAGTTATTTGCATATTAATGAGGTCACGGTCCTTCCTGCAAGCATTTAACATTCCCAAATAATTGTTTTTAAATATCAGGAGTGGAATTCAGTTTCTCTCTCTCTCTCTCTCTCTCTCTCTCTCTCTCTCTCTCATTTTTGACTGTACTGTATGTGTGACTCTGGAAAATTATGTGGGCAGAAAATGTTACTTTATCTTTGGTTCTTCGAGTGGTTCTCTGTGAATGCACGCAATGGGTTAACATCTGTGCCTGTGCAAAGTCATCAGCACATTCTAGAGTTTAGAAAAAGAACATTGTTAGAATCCCCACCCCTGGAGCACATGTTCATACCTCTAACAACTTTCCCTCAGTTCCTCCAATCTGCTAAGGAAGGACAGTGTGAGAAGGGGGGAGGAGGGATGGAAGTGTGAATTCATGGAGAACCACTTGAAGAACCATCATTACAGTAAGTAACCTGTTCCTTCTTCATCATGGTTTCTGTGAATACACACAATGAATGAGTAAAAAGCTCACTTACCAGATGGTGGGCCATGGAAGAACCAAAGCCGAAACATCTCTTCGAAAGGCAGAATACAACTCTCTGGTGTCAAGTGTTTGGCAAATATAGAGGGCTGTGGCCAAGTGCCAGCGTTACTGATCTCATGAAGCTTGAGTCCCCTACCTGAAATTATTTTTTAATTTAGGATGATATTAATAAAGCTGTTAAAGGGACGTGGTGGCACTGCGGGTTAAACTGCAGAAGCCTCTGTGCTGCAAGGTCAGAAGACCTGCAGTCGTAAGATCGAATCCACGTGACAGAGTGAGCTCCCGTTGCTAGTCCCAGCTCCTGCCAACCTAGCAGTTTGAAAGCATGTAAATGCGAGTAGATAAATAGGTACCACCTCAGTGGGAAGGTAATAGCATTCCATATCTAGTTGGCACTGGCCACGTGACCACGGAAACTGCCTACGGACAAACACTGGCTCTATGGCTTGGAAACGGGAATGAGCACCGCGCCCTAGAGTTGGACACGACTGGACTAAATGTCAAGGGGAATCTTTACCTTTACCTAATAAAGCTTTTAGAAGAACATTTAAAATATTGGCAAAATATAATTAACCAATTTTGTAAAGGTGATAAAAAATGGATTAATAAAAAGTACTGGCATAAATATCAAAATCTAGGATTAGGTTTACCTCATATAAAATTATATTATATAGCTAATCAAACAATGGTGGATATTTTAAAACAATCTAACAAATTAATAAGGAAGGACTGATAGCAAGAGACGGCTTGTATTTAACAAGGACTGGGAAAGATGGTTTACTTACCTGTAACCATGGTTCTTCTAGCGGTCATCTGTGAATTCACACAAAAAGGGTTAAATCAGCGCCAGCGTTGGTCCTCTCGGAATGTTCTCGAGCTAAAGAGAAAAGAAACAAAGTTTAAGTTTGCCTGTACTGCGCATGCTCCGCCCGCTCAAACCTCAGTTCCATTTTTCCGCCAGAAATACCTGAGTAAGAGTCAGATATTGACAGTGACGGATAGTGGGGAGGCCGGGCGGGATTGTGTGAATTCACAGATGACCACTAGAAGAACCATAGTTACAGGTAACCTGTCTTTCTTCTGTGTGGTCTTCTGTGAATGCACACAAAAAGGGTGACTAGCACACTAACTTACTGGTAGGAGGGCTGTCACTGGAGAACAGAAGTCAACACCACTCTCCCAAAAGTTGTTTCCTTCTTAGCCCTTAGATCCAGCCTGTAGTGGGTAATGAATGTGGAAACATTCAACCAGGTTGCAGATCTACAGATGTCCGGAACATCAAGTAAGGCAGTCAATGAGGCCATAGCCCTCGTAGAGTGAGCCCGAAGACGCTCTGGGGGATCCTTCCGTTGCAGTTGATAAGCTAGAGTTATGGAGGAAACTAACCATCGAGAGAGTGTTGAGGAGGAAGCTGGAAGACACCTCTTATGTCCGAAGTAACACAGGAACAGTTTATTGGAAAGTCTAAATTCCTTAGAACGTGCAACATAAAAGGCAAGTGCCCGTCGAACATCCAACATGTGGAGTATACGCTCAGTGTCAGTAGTAGGATTAGGAAATAAGGTGGGAAGAACTAGAGGCTGGTTCAGATGAAAGTCTGTAACCACCTTAGGTAAGAATGATCTGTCTGGATATAGTATCACCTTTTCTTTGAAGAATTGTAGGTATGGTTAATCAGCTCAAAGGGCAGCCAACTCGCTGACTCTCCTAGCAGAAGTGATGGCTATCAGAAACAAACATTTAAGAGACAGAATCTTAAGGTCACAAGTGGCCATGGGTTCAAATGGAGGACGTGTTAACGCATGTAGCACCAGTTGGAGAGACCATTGGGGCACTGGAGGTCGAACAGGTGGTCTCAAATTAACTAGTCCTTTGAGGAATGCCTTCACCGTAGGGTGAGAAAAGAGTCGAGATGAGTCGGAACCGCGGGGCTGAAAGGAGACGATTGCAGCTATGTACACCTTAAGGGTAGAGATAGATAACTTCAAATCAAAAAGGTAACGAAGAAACTGGAGTAACGTAGACAAAAAAACAGGGGAAGAAGTCAGTCCTCTGGCTTCAGTAAATTTTAAGAAACTTTTCCACTTATAGCCGTATAGGAGTTTAGTGGAAGGTTTTTTTGACTTGTCTAGGACTTCCCTAATCTCCGGGATATCCTCCACACAGTCAGATGTAAAGTCTCGGGTTCTGGGTGAAGGACTGTGCCCATACCCTGTTACATCAGGGTGAAGGAGGGAGTGTTATGTATTCCGAGGCCATTTCGAACAGCATAGGAAACCACGGTTGTCGAGGCCAAAAGGGCGCAATCAGAATTGGCTCTCCTGACTCCTGACGAAGCCTCACTAAAGTTCTCTGAACGAGTGGGAGCGGTGGGAACAGGTACATAAGATGGAATGTCCACGGTATCATAAACACGTCTCCTAGAGAATTGACTCCTACACCTGCTCGAGACGTGTATAGCTGGCACTTCTTGTTGCAGTAGCAAAGATGTCTACTTGTGGAGTTCCCCAACGGTGACATAGATCTGCAAACGTGTCGTCGTGGAGCTCCCATTCGTGTGTTTGGGTGGTGCGACAGCTCAGTTCGTCTGCTAACACAGTGGTGCCCCGCATAGCGACGATAATCTGTTCCAAAAAACACGTCGCTATACGGATTCATCGCTATGCGGGGCAAAAAAAGCCCATAGGAATGCATTAAAACACGTTTAATGTGTTCCTATGGGCAAAAAACTCACCGTTCTGCGAAAATCCTCCATGCGGCCACCATTTTCGCTGCCCGGTAAGCAAGGAAAACACTGCAGGTGGCCATTTTCTTTACCCGGCAGCCATTTTGGAACCGCCAATCAGCTGTTTAAAAAACCATCGTTATGCGATAATCGGTAAGCGTTTCGCTTACCGATCATCGCAAAGCAATGTTTCCCCATTTAAAACATCGTTATGCGATCGCTTTCGCAATTGCAAAAAAACACATCGATATGCAGATTCGTCATTAAATGAATCACTCGTTATGCGGGGCACCACTGTATATTGTCTCCTGTCGTCCTACCCTGAGGTGAGGCACGAAGGTCCACCACCGAAGCTGTTGTGCTGGCTCCCGGGTTACTTGGGGTGATCCAAAAACGCATCGAACAGGGAAATAAACCAAATTTGGAGAGATCTGAGTTTGAGACGAGCGTGGGCCAGGGCAGGTGTCGTCGATGCCATCAGGCCTAGCAGGTGTTGAACATGCTCTGCGGATACCCAAGCCCTTGGGCGGATCTTCTTGATGGCTTTTTGCAGCTTTTTAATGCGTTCTGCCAGAAGGAAAATGCGGCCCACGGTGGCATCTATTGTGGCCCCGATGTAATCCACAACTTGTGAGGGTATGAGGCGGGATTTCTTGTGGTTTACCATAAGTCCCAGGTTGTGTAAAACATGGAGGGTGAACATTGTGTCCTTCAGGGCTTGGCTTCTGGAAGATGAGACCACTAGCCAGTCATCTATGTAAGGGTAAATTTTCACACCGTTCAGACTCAGGTACGCTGCTACCGGGGTCATACATTTTGTAAATGTTCGCGGAGCTGTCGAAAGTCCGAATGGTAGGGCCAGGAACTGGTAAATATTGTTTAGAAATATGAATCTCAGGAACTTGCAATGGTTGGGGTGAATGGTTATGTGGAAATTGGCATCTTTGAGATCTACTAGCACAAACCAGTTGTTCTTGCGGAGCAGGTGGATTATTGATTCTAATGTGACCATACGAAAGCGTCGGGGACAAAGGTAAGTGTTCAGTGTTCTTAAGTCCAGAATGGGTCTTATGCCGCCATCTTTTTTGGAAACGGCGAAATACCTTGAATAAAACCCGTTTGCGACGTCTCTTTTGGGGATTCTTTGGATCACATTCTTTTCCAGTAGAGATAGAACTTCTTCCTGTAGTGCAGGGTCGTAAGATGTAAACTCCACGTGCCCTAAAGGAG